TGGTCGAGCCGCTCGATCCTGGCTTCCCTGGGTGGATGATTGTGCATTTTCTGTTTGTATCACCTCAGCGAAATTAATCAAAACAGGGAGATGGCCGAGAGTGTAATTGGTTGATGACTTCTGTGGCCCACATCGACATCTGCCGGCGATTAGACCTCAGGTGATGTAGAAGCTGGATCCAAGGGAAAAGGGAGTATCAAGGGATTTTGTGGAACGATTTCAGAGGGGACAAGTGACAAAGAGCAGGCCCAGCCAACGTCGGATACTATTATAAAATCAGGAGATTCCATTGGAGGCTCACGAATGGTAATAGCAAATAAATTCCGACACGACATTTGAGTTCAACCTGAGGCAGACATGTTCGCCTATCCAACTAGCAATGAGAAGTAGATATGAGATGGATACATGCCAGTTGCGTTCTTGAGACCACTCCTCCTCGCTTCACCATTCCTTTCGCGAGTATCCTCGTCCGAGACTGCGGCTTTAGTAAGCTTCCCGTGGACTCTGGCCTACAACTGGTAGAGCATTCCTAATCGCACCCTTGGTAACCAATTGCGAGCATAAAGTAAGGCGGTAACCGTTGTCTCCGAAAATCTAGAATGCTGGGTGATTGTAGAAATTGATCAGGACAGGGCATCTTGGAGCCTTCTTTCTCTACACGCGCGCGGCGCCCGAAACATTTTGTAACCGTTTTGTTCTTGGTCGTAACCTGCGTCGTCGGAATAGAGCGCAACTACTTAAAATGGAACAATGACCAGGGACTGAACCAACTTTTCGCGTGTGTCGCTCTCCTGACCAGTAAAAATCAGCATGAGGTGGGGATCCTGAATATTATGCTCCAGATTGGTATGTCCTTCTGGAAAATTGTATGCATGGGCTAGTGATTAGATAAATTTGTTGGAGTTAGCCAGGTGGTAATGAAACCGATTTGGGAGCCTCGTGCTAGGATCGAAATACCAAGCTAGTAAGGAGGCCATTGTCTTGTAGGTCTATGTGCCAACTGCGGAGAGAAGAACATCAAAACGTTTTGTTGATCAGAATGAGAGCTCGAGGCACAGACATGAACGCGATGGGAAGTACCAGGGTGTAAAGCATGGATACTTATTGTCCGAGTCAAATTCGAGGATTATCGCGATCTAATCAGTATGGGACCTATCGTTGGCGCATCACTGTCTCATGAGCCAGCCAAAGTTCCTCAGTCGAGCAAGCATCAAAGCCGAGTGAATTAGTAGACTAGTCAGGAAGACAACTAGATCAGACGCAGCGACACTTTGTAGCGATGAAGGAAATTACAGCGAGAGGCGGGACTTAGGGGCTCTTGGGGTCGACACATATTACAAAGCTGCCGTGTGAACTTTGCCCTGATTGGACCCTGTGCTGTGGCTTCAACTCTGTGGATGCAATGCGACCGAGGGTTCTGGTACTTGCAAACCGCAACGTTGAAGGCCAGCTGCCACTCGCCGCTAGGCCATTGTCTTCTCCTTTGGGACATTCTCTGGGCTTAAAAGGTTCAGCAACCCCCAGCTGAAACGGTACGAATCTCTGTAATGCCCCGTTCTACCGCTCATGATGTGGCTCCTTACGAGCTTTCTTCAGACTCAGAGACCTGCTCTGATACAGGAGCGACTACGCCATCCACCAGAGCCATGGACATTGGTACACCACCAAATGCGAAAGTTCGAGTCGACGCCGTCACAAAACAATTAGACAGTAAACAACGCTGCCTCATTACAAACGTCGAGTGCGACGAAGTGACCGAGTATGCCCACGTCTTGGGGCATGCTTTGGAGGACAACGACGGATTGGTGAGTTGTATCTTTGACTCCTTCTCGAAGAGGGTGATGACGAGTTGCTAGATGGCCACCCTTGAGTTTTCATGGAAAAAGAAATATCGAACCCAGAGTATCCATACTCATGAAAACATATTTCGGCGTAGGGCTCATCTTACGTGTTTCCGATGTCTTGCTGAGTACAACACTTTTAGTGAGCGCCAAATTCCACCGTCTTTTCGACAAGAACAAATGGCTTTTGCTTCCCGAAACCCGCATTTTAGATCAATATGAAGAGGCTTATAGAAAGCCGCACTTGTTTCCTACGATCGAGGTGAAATTGATTTCTGCTCGTGGAAGAGCTCAACTTACGCATTTATTGTCTTTAGGAAGAGACGTACAGATATACACTTGTTGCTCACCCTGATATGAGATTTGTTCCCATTCATCGAAGGGACGAGACGCTTCCACTTTCTCCCAACGCTTTCGAGAAGTTCGTCTATCCATTTGAAGGGTTTCCCACAATTGTCTCCCACGTTCATCCACGTTTCGTAATCTGCAACGCTGCGCTTAAATGTGAAAGCCGCGAGACGCTCTATGCCTTTGCCAAAGGAAAAGAAGGAGAGTTGTTTAATGCGCTGGCCAGAATCGCTCGCATCTACGTTGGGTGGTCCAGGGTAGATCTCCCAAATGATTTTCGTAAAGAGAGAAAGGTACCCAAGGTTAAGCCCCGCGAGAAAATTGACCGGCAAGTCAAAAGGGATGTTCCAACGAATGTTCCGAATGCTGAACATTCAGATGACGAGGGCGTTCCTCCCACCATTGCCGCAACCTCGGCTCATCGCAGTGTACGGGCTCACTCTTTGGCAAACGAAACACCTGCCGACCGAGCGGGCGATTTCGATCTCAAGAAAGCGAAGGCTAGAGTCGACACTGTTGCCATAAAACGCTGCCTCATTGAGAATACCGATGAGTCCAACGCCCTGGAATACGCCCATGTTCTCGGTAGGAGAAGCTCTAACAAGATTGTGAGTCGAGATCAACTATTCTCGGCCTTCCATCACGGCGTTTAGTTGACAGCTTTGGAATATTCGTGGGGAATGGAACACGAGACTTTAAATGTCGATACACGCTACAATATCTTCCGCCGTAAGTCATCATTTTTCATTCACTACCTTAATTAATGTGATGCCAGTCAACCGAACTTTTCATCGGCTGTTTGATACAGATGCTTGGCTTTTAATTCCAGAACCAGCTATCATCGACGAATATCATGCAGCGATCACACAACGTGCAAAATTTCCTTCGCTCGAACGTCCAAAATTTCCTTCGCTCGAGAACGTATGTCGTCTGTCATTTCCCTCTTTTCATTCTTGTTATGACTGATAATAACAACTAGTATCAACCGCCGTACAGCTATACTTTGCTGGTAATTTATCCGATGGAACATGTTCCTATTCATGTGCAGTGCGGAAAAGAGGACAACGAGTCC